TGGCTCCAAATCTAATAGCCTTCTATTTTTGAGGGTCTGAAAATGCCCTTTTCAATCACAAGTATGGGTCTTTCTAACCTGGAACAAAGCAGACTCAATTTTTATATGCAGCCATCTGATTCTTACAACTTTGGAGATGTGGACACAAGATGGTACAGCTATTATTCTAACAGCACTGATATTAGTATTTCATTACGATGAGAGTATTCTTATTTATGAAGCTCCAAGAGCAATTCGGCTTCCACCTACTTGAAAACTGGATCTATATATTGAGAATCCTATGATGCCTTGTGAGTCATTCGTCAATAATAATACCCATAGTGCATGGCATTGATAGAAATATTCTCCATGAGATTACAGCAGCATACACGAAGAAGCAAAACAGAAGGCTAAAATAAGTCACTAATCACAAAGGCGGCACATCTCATTTGTGCACTTGGCTGAAATCAAAGTCTCTAATTGAACGGATTACCACTTTTAATTTTATATTAATTGCTTTTGAGTTATATATATATATGTGGGGGGGGGGGGGGGGGGGGGGGGGGTGTGGTTGTTCCACCTTCAACACGTGAATATGTTGAGAATATGTCTCAGAAATAAAGCAGTTAGCTACTTTTAGGATTATCCTTAACAATGGTACACATGCTACTCTTCATTATGCATATTTCTCTAGGATTGCTAGAGTATGGTTTGAAATTAGTCCGTGTGCAACAAGTGGCGAATCCAGGATTTGATGGTTGTGGGTGCTCAAATACTAACTTAAAGTTGCAAATCTATAAGCTTACTAATATTTTTATAGTTTAGTTAGTAAATGAAATACAAAAAATAGGAAAGTTAAAAATAATAAAAATTTAAGCAAAAAGTCAACAGATATGCTATTACAGGGATTCGAATCTAGTTGAGGGACCTCGAAATTCTACTCTTGAACAAAATTACCTACAAGACATTTCATTCAATGGGAGCTCGTGAGTTGTTTATATCCATTTTCCATTATTTTCGATATATATATATATATATATATATATATATACAAAATTTTCATCGGGGCCAATGGGTGCTCGAGCACCCAAAACTCTCTACGTGGTCCGCCCCTGTGCAACCCTCCTCTTGGGGAAGCATACCTCTGAGGTGACTCGAGACAGAGTACCGTAGGTTTATAAGCTGATTAAGGGACTGCCCATAAATGTTGGGTCCATCTAAAAACTGAATAAAATTTTATAGAAATTGAATAAAATTTATCTTCCTTAGCATTATTTTAATCTAATCTTTTGAAATCAGTTTTGATACACATTAAATACACTAATATATTTATATATAGTATTTATTTTTTACTACAACATACAAATCTTGTTTTTATTGTTAGTTTAACCAATTAGATTGAAATTTTCAGTGGCGTACGCAGGATTTTTCGTAAGCGGTGTCACTTTTTAAAATGAGAAAATAAATAAAATAATATAAACCATATTTTTTAAGAAAAAAACACACACACAAATAAACACAACTCATGTATATTATTACAACTTTTTCTAAAAAAAAAAAAAAACACATTATAAATTGAGGCTATGTGGGATTGAACACACAACCTAGCCTAAATAATTTCAGCAAAAATCAACTAAGCTATGCGTTTCTATTGTTTAAGTAGTGTCACTTATTTTATACTAGACGCAAGTGTCAGTGCTAGCACGGGCACAATAACTATTATTTTCTTGATCTCACTTTATGTGACATAGATAAAATTTAGAGAGTCAATTAAATTTTTATGTGATTTTTAAATATTTTAAGTTGTTAACTATTGTAATTTATAGTACTTTTACGTAATTTTTCAATAATATATGTTACTTCTCTTGTCCCTATATATGTAGTACAAAGAGAATTGTAAGAATCAATATGTTGTTAATTATTGATATTTACAATACTTTTTACGTAGTTTTCAAATTAAATAGTACATGTTACTTCTTTTGTCCCATTTTATGTGACACAAATAGATTAATTTTATGAATTAATCAATTTTTTTATAAGAAATTAAATTTTTTATATGTTTTTCAAAAATATTTTAAGTTGTCAATTATCATGATTTATAGTATTTTTTACACAATTTTAAATATATAAAAAAATTAAAAAAATAAGACAAATAAATTAAAACGGAGAAAAAAGATAGTAGAAGTGTGGAGCCACACAGGTGAAGCATGCATGTTGACCGCCACATGTGTGGTTATCCACACTTATAATTAAGTAGTAGATATACACCTCTATGTTTGCTTTTGTTTCATAACCATATCTACCTATTTAGCAATTTTTTCTGACGAAGCAGTGTAACGTGACACCCCTTCCCTCTTTCTAAATCCACCCCTGTGTCGGTTTATTTTTAGTTGTCACAGTTTAACTTGGCACACCTATTAAAAAAATTATTAATTTTATAGGTATTTTATCAAACAATCTCCTATTAACTGATGTCTTGAAAAATGATTTGGACAATAAGTATTTAATGATGAGGATAACACATGAAAAAAAAATTATTGTCTTTTCTTTATATGTCAAAAGTGAAAAGTAAAATTGAAAATCTATTTTAGGAATAAGTGACAAGTAAAAGTGAACAGAGGGAGTATATAGCAATTGCATACACTAACTAAAGACTAATATATTTCATGATAAAAAATTAAAAACTCTTCGGTAACTAGCAAGATCCTGAATTTCAAACTAGAAGAAATACTATATATATTTTAATAGAGTTTCACAATAATAAGATAAATAAATTACGTATTTGTGAGAGGAAGTCAAAGGAAGAAGGAACAACCAACAAAATTGGTGTGAGTGTGTGTGTGTGTGGGAGGGGGGGGGGGGTGTCATTGATTGATAACAACCAAAACAAAATCATTTTACCGATTGAGAGAAAATCGTATGATTGATTTATAATCTGTAGTTTCGAAACACTATATTTAGGTAAAGGATATTCGTGAATTAGATATCATGTCAATTTTAAAACACTATATTTATGAAAGGATATTGGCTATAGGAAATAATTCGATACGCTTCCTGTTTTTTTAATTTCGTTTATTAGATTGTTAGGTATTTATAGATATCTAAGGTAAAAGAGAGGTTCGATAAATTGAGACGTGACTTTCTATGGTTGGGAAATAAAGAAGGAAAAAAGAATACAGTTAGTTAAATGGTAGACAATCTTACAAAGCAAGAAGACAAGTGGTGATAAGAATCGGGTTACCAGAATAAACAAGAAAATAATGCGGAAGCAAAATTATAAAGATTAAAGATAAAAATTGAAAGATATGTAAAATTCAAGAATAAAATCCCCAATTTCAAGATAAAGTGCCAAGAAGATCTTAGTATTCAAAATTAGCGGATTAAGACTAATCATGATACTAATACAGTCAATTCAAGAACTTAGATCAAAAGTGATCTAGACCCCAATTACGAAGAAATTAGAGACAACAATTAGTATAACACTAATCACCTTCTTTAATTTGCAAATAGAAACCAAAGATATCAAATTAAGAATTAATGTTACCTCTTAAAGAATCATTCTTATAAGGTTGTAAGATAAATCCATGGTCACCACGCACAAAAGTGTAAAGAAGAGAAAACATCTCAAATGATATTAATCATGTTTGTCTCAAAATAATGAAAATCAACCCCAATATATAGGGAAAACATATCCCAAATAGAATAGGATTTAAATCCTACTTTTATTGAAACTTTAAACTAGGTAATTTTTACACTAGGAATCTTTAAACTAGGAAAACATGAAAACTTTAAACTAGGAAACTTTTTAAACTATGAAACTTTTAAAATAGGAACTTTTGACTTTGAGCATTCAGCTTTTTGGACTCTTTTATTGGGCTTCGTGCTCAAACTTCTTTCTTTTGGACTTGAATTTGGACACCTCTTTCGTGATAAACATATTCTTGATTTTGTATTGACACCCGTCAACTTTAGTACAAGTAGGCTGACATGGATGCTATCATTCCCCTCTTCTTGAAAGCACAATTCATCCTCGAATTTAAATCTCATAGCAAACAACATCCATTACTCAAAAACAACAGTGGTAGAAATAAAACAAGATAATAACCATGTGTCCACTTAACCCAATTAATCCTGGTATGTTATTGCATGTCTTCTTGATTTTAAGTGACTTACTTGGTACTAACAACCAAGACTAATGTGCACCAACGGTCTTTTAAGTGACTTTTAATTTGTGGGAAAATGTTTCTAAGCCACGTGATAAAAAATTGATTTATGACAAATATTTTTAGAATATTATTTTTTACTTGGTATCGAACACAAAAAAAAAAAAAAAAGGTAAAAAATCCATTAATTTTCCTAGAAAAACATTTTCCATAGTACCAAGTGCGAAAAATACCCCCTTTGTAAGTATTCAAATCAAATTTAGATATGACAAATCTCTTGTCTTTCACTTTACACAAATGTAGTAATGAATATAGATTTGGAAGAATTCATATAACCTACCGTCAAGTTTAGCCTTTAAAGATGCAAAAAAAAATCCACATTATTATTAGAAGCAGGAACAAAGTGTTCAATTTTCTCCCGTGAGATCCATTATTGCGATTAATCTTCTAAAACTCTTGAAGTCCGTGTATAACAATGTCAAGGTATGAGCTCTGTCAACTACACGAATCAAAGGCAACAAAGAAATACTTACTTCATTACGCGAGAAAAGCCTTTAATGGTATGGAAGAAGTTCTACGACAAGCTTCAAAACATGAAGCAATAGCTGAGCCTTCTAAAGATTGAGCTACGAGAATCCATCCTATTTTTCTCAGTACAAAAGAAATAAGCGAGCGCTAAGCTCAATAAGAGTGTAAAGGCAGCACGATTAGAAAATAAGAGACATCGCATGACATAAACTATAAAGGAATACTGAGAATAAAAATGAGCTTGCAGAAACAACCAAGGCAAAATTTTCCTGTGGACATGGGAACAAAAGTAGTAGAGATTGTTCGACATTAAATTATCTTTCCTCTGTATAATGAGGAATAATGAGTTACTGAGTCTACTATCACATTTTGACAAGAAAAAATGGATGGAAAAAAAAATGTAACAGTAACTTATGGTGGATTCTGTAATATGCTAAGATGTTTATTTAGATGATGCATATGTGAACTAAACCAAAATGTTCCCCTCACATTACTTTAATGGGGAATACTTTGAGATCAACTTGTCAACATGAATTACGATATCATCTATGCGGGGTCGGACTGTTGCTTGAGGCTGAAGCATCCATGTCACAAACTGATTAAGGTCGTTTGGATATTGAGCATTAGGCTCAGTTGGCCACTTTATTTGTGCATTTACAATAGCCAATTGTGGACTTTCATCAGATTCCTCAAGTGCATACTCGAATGGAGATACACCATACCTGGAACATAAAAGCCAAGATATTAAAGATTAATAACTATCTTTCATGCAAACAGACCTGTTCGAAACCAATTTCACAGTTAATTAATATCTGCAATCGGGTAATATATGCATGTCATGAGAATTTTTATTCATTATTCTGAAAAGAAAAAAACTTTTACTGTGAATAATAACTTGGAAACTCAGCACCAGACAACTCTTCAGTACGCTCACCAACATACTTATTTTAAGCATTAAACAAGTCAAAAGCAGGAGATTTCATACTTGAGTTTACTTAAATCATGATTTGATCGAACCGAATATCAACTTATTGGGCAATGGTGATGCAACTAACAGATATGTCAACAAGAGAACAAAAATATTTTATTTTGCACAGAAAAAGCTACAAAAAGATATCTGCAAAAGAGTAGAAAGAAGTCTTACATTATAGCAAATAATGTACAACCTAATGACCAGATATCAGTTCTTTCATCAATATCACATTGACTTGCGCAGTCCCACAATTCAGGTGCACGGAAAGGTGCTGAAATATGCTCAGATGCCCATTCCTGGATAACCACAAACGTACATCAAACCAAAAAAAATGCATCAGAATGGGGTAAGTTGTGAACGGTAAGTTACAGAGCCAAGAAAAAGCAACATCCTTATGTTATTAATACAGTGATGGTGATAACATTCTCCCTGTTCAGGTTCAGAAGAAGAGAAAGATGAGAAGCTTGCAGGCATAAATACAGAAGAAGATACGTTTATATAATAGAAGAAGCATAAGTACCTGCAACTGTAGAGCCTCTGAGCGAGAGCGAATTTGCCTTCTTGCAGGACGCGCATTTCCAAAATCCATTAATTTTGCAAGAGGTGCCTGTCCTTTTCGATGTGTTAAAAGGACATTACCAGGTTTGACATCATTATGTGCATACGGAGGATCAAAGTTATGCATATGCTTGAGACCTGCACAAAGCTGCATATAAAACATTTTTCAGTACATCATATTTTGGCTTCACAATTCCCTGTGCACTTGACCCTTCCGTTTTCCTTCAGAAAATGAAAAGATGCTCTTGTGCAGAACATACTGATTCTTGTTCACCTGATGAAATATTTGAAGCACCTCCAACGTGGAAAAGAACTCCTGTTTTGCTTGCATGGTTTTCATACTATCCAGTAATGTCCCATCCAAATGGGCTGGAAATAACAAGTAAGCTTCCTGCTTCCTAGACTGGTCTTGTGAGGCCTGCCCATTATCCAATTAAATAAGAGCTTTAGGGAAAATCCAGTGGCAACTGAAGATATATCATAGAGGGAAGGCAACAAAGAAGATGTAAATCAGCATGCTTATAGCATTCAGCAAAAGTAGAGCATGTCTTTCATAATTGACAAATGACAGTTTGCTTAAACATAGTTCTCATTCCCAGAAGCCAAAACTGCCGGAAGAGTATCATCTCAATGAGACATGTAAACAGTAAACCCTCTGTGATTGTGAGCAACTTCCCAACCCCCTTTCCTTTGTCTTTTGCGAAAGAAAGGAACTAAAGGATACACTTCTTTGACCATTCATGTGCATGTTCAAACTTCTTCATATATAGGGAAATAAATCTACTATGATGGGAATGAGTTCCTTGAACTCTTGAAGCCCATCTAAGACTCCTGGAATGGAAAAGGATCAATATTGTGCATGTGTTCACCTTCTTTGCATGATATGCACTCTCAATAAGAGATAGCCTAGACGTGGAGCTGAGTGAATTACTAAATGCTAAGTTACTTGGACTCTCCAAAATTTCTGCCGCACCTGTGTCCGATCCTCCAAAACACTACTTTTGGAGGATCCGACACGCACTAGTCGACTTCTGAAGAGTCCGAGCAACATAGACTAAATGAAGAAATTAGAGACCACTGCAACAATTTTCTTTTTCTGCTGATCAAAGCAAGTGCACGGGTTTTAGTAATTACCTTGACCGAAATGATGGCATGATCCAAGAGAGGAAGCAGATTGGGATGGCTAAACAGAGACGAAACGCGGATCTCCTCTTTCACCAACTCTAACTGTTCATTGTTTTGAATAAGAACTTTCTTCATTGCATAAGTTCCATCATCTAAACATTCAGATACAATGCATTGCAAACACTATAATGTTAACATGACAATTTAAAAGGTCTTAATAAGAACAAGAGAAATATGAAAATACAACAATTGTTCAAAAGTCTGCACTATTCTTTTCCTAGAGAAAGAATCATAAATCTGACCGCACTAGATGGTTCAGGTCCATAAGAAAACAATATCTGACCTGATAAATGAGAAAATTGTTGCAGACCTAACTTTGCCATTTGAGCAATGAAAAGAAATTCATCGAAAGATAAAAAGAGAACATAAAAGGCAAAGGATAAGGTTCCATTGGACTTTCTTCTTTTCAATTGCAAACAACAGTAAAAATATGTTTAAAAGAGTTCATTTTTATGCATTTCTTTTTTCCTGATAAGATGCCGCACAAACCAGCAGTACACTATTAGTAAATCTAGAAAAAGATTTCTAATTGCACAAAATATAAGCAAATTCTGGGAGCTAAAGTTCATATATCAAGATGATCACCCTATAGAAACACCTAGTACCCATACAAAATCACAGTTATTTAGCAGGCAAAGGAAAGAAAACATTGATAGTAGCAAACATCGAGACATAAATATCCGTGGAGTGTAATTGATACAAAAACTCCCCCAATGATCATTTACAACTACAACCAAAGCAAATCGTATAGAATTTGAAGCAGGCAAGAAACCCTTTCATTCACAAATCTGATCTAATAGTCAACAGCAACAACAACTACCAAGATCAACTATAAGAATTCCCATTATCCATTAAGCACAGTCTAGACCTGTTTACAAATCTGACCTAATAGTCAGATCAACAACAAACCCATTATAATTTCACAAAGTAGGGTAGGGTAGAATGTACACACACCTTACCACAACCTTCTGTTTCCTATAGAGTCAGATCACAAGAGAGAACAAAAAAAATGTCCACTAATATTATTCACAAATTTCACCCAATTGTCAACAACTACAACTATGCACAAAGAATACCAACTTAATTCTGCTCAAAACTCCATAAAATCTGATTCAATTGTCAACTTACAAGGAAAAATGTGATTCAATTTTCAGATTTCAAGAGAGAGAGAAAACGAAACTTGCTATTGCCACAAATTAATTTGACGAGCAACTAGTATTCCTCAAACCAATGTAAGTAAGTATCTAGTAATACGTACCAGAGACATGAGAAGGGTCCTTAATTTTGTTTGGGTCAGAAATGAGCTCCTTGACAAGGAAGACATTGGGAAAACTGGCTTGACGAAGGATCCTGAAGCGATTCTCATTGATCCAAACATCTCCTCCGCCATTGGCGTTGTCATACAAAGCATTGAGTCCCGAGAACGAGCATCCCATTTTTCACTGCTAAATCAATGGGTCAGCTCCTTCTCGATTGTGATTGTGACGGTGATGCTTCTCTCTCTGACTTTTGAGAGAGAAAGAGAGAAGAGAGATTTTTTCTCTCTCTTGGATCTCACAAAGTTGTCTTTAGCGAGGAGACTATTTTTTTAATCTTTTGGCGTAGATTTGATATTATGTGATGCTTGTAGTAGAAGTAGTACAAATGTACAAGTTATCTTCTTTATCGGATCTCTATGCGCAACTTAAAATTTGTTAGTATTTGAGTTTGTTCTTCTTTTACGAAAATGCACGTATAAAATTACCAAAATGATCCTTAATGTATGAGTACAAGGGTCAAATGAGCTCGTTAAGTTGAAATTGGAGATATTATGTGATGCTTGTGGTAGAAGTAGTACAAATGTACAAGTTATCTTCTTTCTCGGATCTCTATGCGCAACTTAAAATTTGTTAGTATTTGAGTTTGTTCTTCTTTTACGAAAATGCACGTACAAAATTATCAAAATGGTCCTTAATGTATGAGTACAAGGGTCAAATGGGTTCGTTAAGTTGAAGTTAGAGATATTAAAATAGGTTGAAATAGAATTTGGATTGGGCTATGCTCCGTCCAAATTTACTTTGGGTTAAATTGGGTTGGGCTCAAATGGGCTAAAAATCGAGTTGGGTCATGATCGTCCAATTTGACCTGTTTAATCTCAACAATTTTAATATATTGTTATTTAACTTTTACAACCACTATTTGAATTTCAACTCAAGAAAATTACAAATGCATAGATAAATTCTAGAAGATATAAAATAGATAGTGATTCATAACTTACTATAGGAACATATATTACATCAATGCAAAATAAAGAGCCTTAAAATGGGTTAAATGTAGATTAATTGGGCTCAATTGAAGATTCTTTTAAAATGGGTTTAGACATGAATGAGTTGAGGTTGAACTCAAATCAAATTATCTTGAGTCCAACTCGTAAAATTCTGGACGGGTTATCTATATTTGGGCTCATTTTGACACCCCATGTGTATGTGTAATGTTTTATTTTGATCCTTAATATATTTCATTTGATTGAAATGATTTTTAATGTATAATAAAAGTTGTTTATTTTATTTCTTTACTATAAATATTTATCAAGAAACAAAGTGTTGAATATAATTGTGGTGTAACGATCCGATTCATCGTTACTAAAGCGCACCTCGAGTAGAGTCCCAAAAGTGTAGTGCAAGAATTTTAAAATATTGTATATATTGCTTTATAGGTTTTAACATCTGAAATTTCTACTTAGATTCAAAAAGTTATTTTTGCAAGGTCTGATTTCAAGTATTGTAAATATTACTTTAAAGGTTCTAACATTTGAAATTTGCAAAGTCTTTTTAATAATCTCTCTCTATATATATATAAATAAAGCTGAATCTAAGCAATCCTATTTGGCACCTCTCTATGGCCAGTATTCTATTTATCTTTTTTTCTCGTTTTTTAAAATGTTTCTTCCTTTATAAAGGAAGAAATATGTTAAATATATTAGTGACAATTATGTTCTTTTTAATACTTATAACTGACGCACATAAATATTAGAAATTAAAAGAGAAATAAATAGATATTGATAACCTATATGAGAGAATGCCAAGAGTTTTCTCTAATATTTAAAATAAGGTAAATAATCATAAATCGTTTAAAAAAATATGGTAAAAGTTAATCACCAACTAATATTGATATGTTCATTGTTGAGAGAATAACAGAAGAATTCATGGTTTGATTAGCTCCTTTCTCAATATTTCATTTCTTTTTATGATTGTGTTTCTAACATCTTTTTTGTTGTTTTTCTTCCTTTCTTTACTTTTTAAATTTTCAGGAACATCAAACAAGTTTCATTGAACATGCACGTATCAAAGAGAAAAAAATTCAACAACGTACCAAATAAATAAAAGAAAAATCATGAAGGAGAGAAAAATAACAAGCAACGGAAAAAGAAAAACAGTAACGACAAAGCTCCAAGGAAGCAAATTTAGAGATGAAGAAAAGAGATCTCAGAATGGACAAAATTTCGTCAACTTAGCGTAAAATAATAGTCAAATCTTTGAAGGTAAGCATTACATATATAAAAATTGAAATTAATTTTATGCAAGAATTAATCTAATGTCCTATTTAGTATGATATTTTATATGATTGAGTAACTAGAGATCACAACATTTTCCTCTTTTTTAAAATTAATAATCTAACTTATGTGTTTAAAGCTTAAGGATAAAAGAAATACAAAATTAATAATCAAGACTAAAACATTGCAAAAATAAAATTATTAGGAATCTAAAATATGTTAAGAATCTTATATTTCAAAATCATTCTACAATTACAAATATATATACATATAAAAAGAAATTCTCAAAATTATTTACATTTAGCCTAAAAATAAAAAATAATAAGTAGTTAAGATCAACAAAAATGGACACCTTAACTTTGTCACTTCTTCTTATGATGATAGAATATGATTTCTTTATGAAAAGAGAACGAGATAGTATTTCATGATTCTTCAAGATATTGATATAAAATGAAAGGCCATGTAACAAATGTTTCTCTTCAAAAGGAATTTTTTTTAAAAGGTTATTGCACTATAATTTTTTCTACAAGAAATTTTGTATTGAGAAAAAAATCATTCTGATTGAAAAATTTATAGAAAAAATTATGAGTGCTCCACAAGACAAGAAGAATTATTTTGAGAATGAATCAAGTTATTTATTGAATTCATATTTAAATTAGAAGAAGAATAAGGAAAAATCTATATTGGGAATTACAATTTGAAAGGATCCTAAATTAGTGCTCACATTATTTCTTTCAATTCTTTATTCTTCTAAATCCATTCTTTTTTAAAAAAAAATTATCTTTAATTTTTTTGTTTCATTTTTCCTTATATATCTTTAATTAATGTTTGTTTTATTTTCTTTATTGTGCTTTGAAAGGATCCTAAATTAGTGCTTACATGTTTCTTTAAATTTTTACTCTTCGAATTCTGTTTTTTTATTTAATTTTTTTCCACTTTTTCCTCCTGTAAACCCTTTAATTAATGTTTGTTTTATTTTCTTTTATGTATCTTTAATTATACTTTATATTATTAAAAATAAAGAATATATATATATATATATATATATATATATATATATATATATATATATATTACTATTTTAATTCTTTTGACATTTTTTTTAATTTTAAAAGACCAAAAGTCTTCAAATTTTTACAAAATATCAAAGGTGACCATATTTTTTAATTTTGTTCATCAACAATTATATTAATTTTCTTACTTCCCTGACTTAATTTGATAACTAATGTCATTTTATCATTTTGTAAAATCATTTTTAAAAAACTCTTTTACTTTCTTTTATTTATTTATCACAAGAAATTAGTTATTATAACTTTGTAAAACATATCTTTTTATATATTAAGGTAATTTGATTTTATTTCTTATTAAAAAATTAGATCATCTCTTCTGCTAAATATCTATACAAGTATACTCATATCAAATAATAAAGTTAAAAATAGAAAATGATGACACTCTTCTGACTTCATATATTTATTTAATTTTATAAAATAAATGACGTTTTCTCTTATATTTTTTTTAAAAAAAAAAATTGCTCAAAAATTTGTCTTGAAAGTTTATCTATTTTGCATTTTTTTTTTCAAATTTCCAATCATTTCATCATTAATGCTATTAATTATTTTAATTTTTTCCATAACCTCATCATTAATGTTATTTATATTATTTCCTTAAATGATGAATGGTCCACAAGACAAGAAAAAATATTTAGAGAAAGAATCAATTTATTTATTGAATTCATATTAAATTAGGCGTAGAATAAGGAGATGTCTATTTTGTGAATTATAATTTGAAAGGATCCTAAATTAGTGCTCACATTATTTCTTTAAATTCTTTATTCTTCTAATTCCGTTCCTTTTTTAATTTTTTTCTTCAATTTTTTTAATTTTATTTTTCCTTATATATATGTTAATATAAATTTATGTTTGTTTTATTTTCTTTATTGTGATTTGAAAGGATCCTAAATTAGTGCTTACATTATTTCTTTAAATTTTTTACTCTTCTAATTCCGTTTTTTTAATTTAATTTTTTCCATTTTTTTCTCATGTACAACATTTAATTAATGTTTGTTTTATTTTCTTTTAAAAAATGACGTTTTCTCTTATATTTATTTTTTTTAAAATAATTGTTCAAAATTTGTCTTGAAACTTTATCTATTTTGCAAAAAAAAAGTTCAAATTTTAAATCATTTTATCATTAATGCTATTAATTATTTTTATTTTTTTTCCTTAACCTCATCATTAATGTTATTTATATTATTTCCTTAAATGATGAATGGTCCACAAGACAAGAAAAAATATTTAGAGAAAGAATCAATTTATTTATTGAATTCATATTAAATTAGGCGTAGAATAAGGAGATATCTATGTTGTGAATTATAATTTGAAAGAATCCTAAATTAGTACTCACTTTATTTCTTCAATTCTTTATTTCTACTTCCGTTCTTTTTTTAAAAAAAAATCTTCAATTTTTTTAATTTCATTTTTCCTTATATATCTTTAAATATAAATTAATGTTTGTTTTATTTTCTTTATTGTGATTTGAAAGGATCCTAAATTAGTGCTTAGATTATTTCTTTAAATTTTTTACTCTTCTAATTCCGTTTTTTTAATTTAATTTTTTCCCTTTTTTTCTCATGTACAACATTTAATTAATGTTTGTTTTATTTTCTTTTATTTATCTTTAATTATACTTTATATTCTTAAAATAAAGAATATATATATATATATATATATATATATAGATTTTCAGAAAATACAGAAAATAAAGAATATATATATATACTTACCTGAGTTTTTCTGGGTAGTTTTATACTACAAACATATTTACATATTAAAGCAAACATGATTTAAAACATACATACTTTACATATATTTTTAGGGAAAATTACAGGAAACATAAGAGACTTACATGACTTAGACGGAGAGAGGTTTCCCTTTCGGGAACCCCGACTGACTCTTACACACTTAAAACAAACTTTTTTACAAACTGAATATTACAAG